ACAGCTATAATAACTTTGTATTATTAGTGTAGGACACTTGTGTATGTATAACATCTGAAGATGTGTACAGTAGTTTTATTCATGTTTTCACATAATTGTACAGGATATTGCTATATTATTTCACATGTTTTACTTCTAATATCTGATTTGTAAAACATCACAGAAAGAAAGGTATATCCGTCATTTAACAGTAAGCTATTGAAATTCTGAATCCATAGATGTGTCTCCCATCACCCAAATCCCCTGACTATTCTCTCAACTCAGTATTTACATTCTTATATTCAAAGAAAATCAGTAATATCTTTAAAAACTACAAGTCCTTTTATATCAGCTGTACACCGTTATGGTGTAAATATAACCACCAATTGGATCAAATATAAAAGTCAGCCGAATTAGTATTGATACTGCAAGGAGACGTATTGTGTGAAAAGAAATGTAAGATGTTGTTTAATTGCTGATATATTTATGATCCACGTCACGTTTTCAGTTTTGGCGGCAGTGCTTCCTGTTTGTGTAGAAGTCTTCTCATCAGGGCTCTATAAATACAGAACTACGGCAGATATGTAATATTTAATGCAGCCGACCCGTGTATTACAATGCCGTTATGTGATGACTTTCAAAGAGAAAAGCAAGCACACTCGGAATAAAGTATTATTTTATTTTTAAAAAATGTTTTCGGATTTCACATCGCATAAACACCATTTCCCAACGTGCATTGCGGCTAAACCATCGAATCACCGAGCTGAGGACCTTGCCTACGTCTGTTTCCGGTATTTTTTATGACGTTTGTATTTTGTTATACACACATTCCTTCACATTTAAATTTAAATTTACCTTAAAGTATTTTGTGAAGCCTTCTAAAATGTTTTTAAATATAACTACGGTTCTAGTTGAAGAGTTTGTAAATTAACATGAACCGAAGCTGTTGCCTGGCAACGCAATCGCACAACGTCACGTCCGTTAATTCCACATCCACACCTTTATATATACAGTCTATGATCCACACACATGGATTAACATCGATTTAATACATTAATGTAGCATTTGTTTCTGCTAAAAGAGGTGTCGACCAGCTAGGGCAACAAGAAAATCGGCGAAATCGAGTGTGACGATTAAAAAATAAATTAAAAACATCTCATTTTGACAATAAAAACCGACCAATAGTCTTGGTAGAGCATTTGCTTGGCACTTCCGGGTATTTCTCCACTGGTTGGGCCATGTTAACAATACCGTGTAACTGTCACGTTTGAAGGGACGAAACCGTGACATATTCACGTCTCCCAGCATGGTAGATCGTCACATGTTCACGTCTTGCCGTGATACCGGGTTGCATTTTTCTACTATAGGAGTAACCTGTGTTTTTAAACAAATGTTCGGGCACATAGCACTGGTGGGCAAGGGCAACATTCTAATCACACTCAATGCAGCGTGAGAAAAGCAGCGTGTGGTCATCATGGCAAGCTAAAATGCCCCACAGATTGATACAAAAAGTGTATTATTAACATAAGGGCGATCAACCCACACTCTAAGGAAAGACTTTAGTCTCTTGATTTTCTTAATAGTAAGTTAATAAAGCGAGCCATTACATAAATTACTGTTGAGTCTGTAAATGCCATACAGTCTATGGTAAAAACAACAGCATAGTATCTTATCTAAACTGTTAAGGTCATGTATTCAATAAAAACAGAACAAGTGCAGTGAAGTATCAAAATGATAGGTAGCCTACAGGCTTTAAACAGACTTGGTAATGCTAACGCTAACGACTGATTTTCTTGTGTTTTTATGATGAACTGTACACTAGTCTGCTACTCCTCTACCATATGAACACCCACACAAGATTTGACTACGGTTAGGGTGCCAATTTTGTATTTGTATACTATATATTCACTGAACATGAGAGTGGTATCGATCTTCTAATCTAACTCTCAACAAGAAAGTGAATTAGTGTATTTTCTAAAATGTGAAATGATTCTAGTAATACTGCAAAGTAAGTCTTAAAGCTCTTACCCTGGATTCTGCAGAGGCACATTATTTACCCAAACCCATTGGCCCTCTGTTTGAATATCCGTAAGGCCGATCCAAAACCCCCCCTGCGTGCTCCACCACGGTCGAATGCTCGGATCCATTTTAGGTAGGAACTCAAAAAGATTAATCTAGACAAACAGAGATTACAAAATCAAAATGGGTTAATCACAGGTATATCTGTAATGTATTTATTAGCAGTGCAGGCCTAAGTAGCGACTGATGAGATATTACTGTAGATTCATCATCCCAATTTTATGTAGGCCTAGGATATGTTCAGTGAGTGAAGCTTGGAGCTTCCACCCACGTCCCCTCCCAATGACACCGTTGCCATTTTAACCTAGCTTTAAACTTACCTCATGAATGTCAATGGGAATTTTTCCACAGTAGTAAGGGCCTTTACAGCCTTTCCAATGTGAGGTGCAAGTCGTTATCAGTCCTCTGCGCTTCAGGTTAACCTTTCTAACATTTACACTACTCTCCTCTTTATTAAAATGGCTCTGGTGTCTGTTTGTGGTCATGCTAGAATCATCATGCACATGCTGAGGCTTTGGTGAGTAACTTGAGCCAGACCAAATTAAACCCAGCTGGAGCGTTTGTTCATTTTATTTCAGGCATTTTGGTTGAGCCCTGGTAGTTTTGGCTATAATGCTTTAATTATCAGAATTTACTTCAGATAAAACCTACTACTATAATTATTAACTTCCTCCATGTTTCGACTGCAGGTACAAGTTGAATGTGTTGGCAAGCAAGCTAGAATAGTGAGCCACACCACAATACAGTACAGTGCTACCTTATGTCCATGAATCATCAAAATAACACCCTTTTTATCTCCTGTATATTCATATTGGACTCACCTGCTCCTCCAAGCTATTAATCACAGCCAGATCGGCCCCACGCCTGATACAGTCCGATCGGCTATCCTGCCAGTTCTTTAAGGGATTGGAGGCTGATTTACCATGGAAGTAGCACGATGTGTTGAGTAAAAGCCATCCTGACTGGCATCGTCCACAACTTTCCCCTGTTAAAAGATGAAAATTAGTTGAAATCCAAACAAAAGGAAAACATTTGATTCCAAATTCAAAAAATGTATGCAATAGCTTCTCACGCATATCAGATGAATTGGACTTCAGTGTAGCTCTCTCCACTTGCAGTACTTCATGACTCCTCTGAATGCTGTCGATGAGGGTCTTGTTCAACCCTAACTGCAGTTTTAGTTGCTGGTGTTTCCTGAGCTCTTTTTCTACTGCTTGCTCTGCCTCTTTTTGAGCTTTGACTGCTTCAGTCTGCATTATTTGAAGTTGCTTCACCTCTATGATGAGCCCTTGTGCTGTCATTTGGTCTGGAGTGGATTCCTCACTGACTTTGCCACCTGCAAGGTATTTACCAAGTTATAGCATTGGGTAAGAAAGTGTAAATGTAGTTAAGGATCTAAGTTGAAAAGCACGTCCACAGCCTAGTTAATGAATACTACTCAAAACCTACTCTAAATAAGGAAAGTATAGATATACACCACATTACTTGGATCAGATGTACTCACAGTATATCCCAATAACAATAGCAGTCAGAATCAGAATGGCGTTCAGCAGCCCTAAAAACCCGATAACCAGTGGATACAGTGGCAGACTTCTGGACCCAACTGTGACCATAGATCCTGAAAAACAAATGTTGATTTGAGCTCGGAGGGAAAAACAGAAAATAATACAGCATGTTTTCTAAAGATGTATTGTGAGGACCAATTAAATAAAGCAAGCCTACCATTGTTTTCCTGTTTTGCCATAATTTGAAATCATGAATCATGAACATTCCTCTGGTCTTCAGGTTTTAACTCAACTGCCCGAGCATGTTACTTTTATCTGTGTGAGGAAATTGCTCTGTCAATATTACAAAACTGTGTGGGTGCAAGTGTGCGCTTGAATCCCTTTTACCCTCTCTCTGTAATGTGATAGTGATCTGAAGGTTTTTTTTCTCTCTTATTTAAGATTTGTATGGGAAGGCCACATAAAGTTACATGTATAACTTCTTATAATATAAAAATTAATTAATTTTATGTAATGTATTTACTGCAGAGTGCTCCGGTGACCTCTAATATGCCGCCCACAGGGCAAAGATCGAATCAAATGGGTGGTTGGTGATGTGATGTACCGTAAGTCTAACAGTCTGCTGATTATTTGTAACCTAGGGAAAATTGCCATAATACACGCTGAAGAAGTGACACCTACCCTTTTATACCAAGATAATATTTTTTATTTTAGGCTATCTGATATACATTATATTTTTGAAATAAATAACTACAATATTGTAATATGATATGATTTGTGTATGAATGGGATACCTTGTTGCTCTTATTTTCCAGGTAATTAATTTGGTAGATTATAACAGAATTTACATTTCTGTTTTATCCATTGACAGGTCGTATTTAGATTTTATTCCAGAAAATGTACCATAGCCTACAATTACACATTTTGATATGTTAATGTAAAACAAGTTATAAAGTGACAAGATGTTACCAATATTACACAACAATATGGTAAGTGTCTCTGATTTGTAATGAGTAGGACACTCCCCTAACATTTAAATTAGGAGTTACTTAAATAGAAAGAAATATTGATTCGTATGTAAAATAAACTATATATATAAAATTGCATATAAAACTTTCATAATTCATGCATGAAAGGGAAAGGGTTTTATGTCTTGTAATTGCATTGTTGAGGAACCTGTGACCCTAGTTTTTAATTAATTACATACAACACCATAGTTGTGTATATGATATGACAATAAACCTTTGATATATTTTAATTTAATAATGCACCAGAAATAGTACTATATTACATTATATAATGGGCCATTCTGCATATTAGGTGTTGTTTACTTTTGGTACTTTGAGAATATTTTTATGTTATTATTTTTGTGCTGCAAGATGGTGGGATAATAACGACTTACAATAGACTCCCAGGCCAATGTCCACTGCTAGTAGAATGACAGCAAGCACTGCAAGGCTTACTGTAAGCCGTTTGTAATGTTTCAAACTGGATTCAGGTCTCACCACAGACATGGACACTGCACAGAAGTGATGGACCAATAGCAAAGACAAGAAAATGACACAATATAACAGCAGGTGAATATAGCAAAAATAATAAACTGTATATTTTTGTGTGTGTGTGTGTGTGTGTGTGTGTGTGTGTGTGTGTGTGTGTGTGTGTGTGTGTGTGTGTGTGTGTGTGTGTGTGTGTGCGTGTGCGTGTGTGTGTGTGTGTGTTTACAAACAGAAAATGAAGTTCATTTGTTAAACATTTACAGGAGGATGCACGTAATTTGAAGAGTGGTTTAATTACAAACATTCAAGTATTTTTGGATTCCTTTAGGTGTCACTTTTATTACATGAAAACGGCAATTACAGAATACTAGCTCAGCACAGTGTGACGACCCCTGCTTTACTGTCTCCTGTGGTGTGTGTGTATGGCCCTTTAATGTTCTCCCTCTGTTGTGTCAGCGCTGATTGAGGACACCTGAGGCCTGTACTACGAAGCTGGTTCAACCTAACCTGGATATGTTTGAGTTAGCCGGTTGGCCCAATCCAAAACATACGCGCTCTCGCTAAGCTGTACTACGACGCTGGTTATCAAGTGGATCGCTCAAGCCAGCCGTGTCCTATCTAGTTAGGTGCGCGTTCACATGAAAGGGGTGGTATTTGGAGCATTCGACCAATCTCAAACATGGACAAGCGTACTGACAGCGCAGCGTCATACTTCCTGAATGAAAAGTGAACTTTAATATTAGTCAAATATGAAGAAGTTAAACTTTAAACATCCATGACTTAAACACTTTATCCAGGATAAAAGCCACATAGCTGCACCTGCAAGGTGAATACAGCTGGTAAAAGAAAAAGCGTTTGAATGCGTACATCAACAGGTTTATGATATCACAGCCCCGTCCAAGACACGAGTGGATCTGACTTTAATTACATTTGACTCTAGTGTTTCGTCAACTTAATGTGTTGCTTAAAATAATACTTCTGCATACAGTATGTGACACTGTGAGTGTTGCACGGCCAGATACAGCTCAAGAAGCTGACTCAAATAAGGAAATATATGATACATTATGATGTGATATGATATAGGATCAGTTGGAGCAAGTATTTTATTACTTATAAATACCTCTCTTAGCTCAGGATGTGTCCCAGCTGCCTTCAAACATGCCGTGGTTAAGCCACTACTTAAAAAGAAAAATCTCAACCCTTCCATTCTCGCAAATTTTAGGCCCATCTCCCAGCTACCTTTTTTATCAAAAGCCCTGGAGCGAGTAGTCTACGCCCAGCTGCAGTCTTTTTTAACCATGCATGGCATCCATGAAAAGTTTCAGTCTGGCTTCAAACCCATGCACAGTACTGAAACAGCCCTTTTAAGAGTTTTTAATGATCTGCTCCTAGCCGCCGACTCAGGTAGCCCAGCTGTCTTGGTGCTGTTAGACCTGACAGCTGCCTTCGACACTGTGGACCATAGCATCCTGTTGTCACGGCTTGAACAGTCCGCTGGCATCACAGGCTCTGCCCTTGCATGGTTCAGGTCCTACCTGACAGACCGTAGCTTCTCAGTGCAGCTAGGTGCCTTCTCCTCAGCCATAGCCCCTCTTACCTGTGGGGTTCCCCAAGGCTCGATTTTGGGCCCCATCCTTTTTCTACTGTACATACTGCCCCTAGGTTCAATTCTCACAAAACACAACATCCCCTTCCACTGCTACGCTGACGATGTACAGATCTATCTGCCACTCAATTCAAATGTAAACTCATTACAGCTATTGATGGACTGCTTAGCAGAGATCAAATCCTGGCTGAGCCAACATTTCCTCAACCTCAATGAGAGCAAGACTGAGGTTATCTTTTTTGGACCCCAACCTCTAGCCTCCCAGGTTGATATTCTGGGCTCCCTCAAAAATAATATCCTCCCCTCTGTCACGAACCTTGGAGTGACCTTCAATAGCGCTTTTAAATTCGATAAGCAGGTCAGCAGCGTAGTCAAAACCTGCTTTTTTTAAATACGACTATTGGCCAAGACCAAGTCGTTTTTATCGTTTGAGGACCTGGAAAGGGTTATTAACGCCTTTGTTACCTCGAGGTTGGACTACTGCAACGCTCTGCACGTGGGTATGGACCAGGCGTCAATTAAACGCCTGCAGCTAGTCCAGAACGCAGCTGCACGTCTACTCACTGGCCACAAAAAGCGTGACCACATCACCCCAATTCTGGCCTCACTGCACTGGCTTCCAATTCGGTTCCGAATTGATTTTAAACTCCTTTTATTTGTTTTTAAAGCACTAAATGGGCTGGCTCCGGCCTATATAGCTGAACTCCTCCAGCGCTACACCCCAACAAGAGCTTTAAGGTCTGCTGACCAGCTGTTGCTGATAGTGCCCAAGACCAGGCTCAAAACCCGAGGGCACCGAGCCTTCGCAGCAGCTGGCCCGAGGCTCTGGAACACTCTGCCCCTCCATGTGAGGTCGGCCCAGACCCTAGGGGTTTTTAATGGCGCATTTCCACCATGGCGCGGAGCGCGGTTTAAGCGTGCCGTGTTGTGCCGTGCCCGTTTTTGGTTGCGCTTCCACTAGGCCTAGTCACGGCCCGGCCCGGGGCCACTTTTTCACCTCTTTTCTGGCCCGACAAAATTGTGGTTCTATCGGGGCCAACAAACAGGGCTGAGTCGGGCTGAGTATGCTAAACTAGAGAGAGAATCGCTGGCAAGGAGGCTACAACTACAACAAGATGAACATATTTGACCGTGATTTAATTGTAATACACGTTTCAAAATGATGCCGAAGTAACAACATACTGATACCGGTTAGTAAAAACCATGAATTAATGCTTTGGCAAGTTTGCAGACAGACGGCAGGTGAAAAACCTTTTAAAATGCGTGTTTTCTAGATGGAGATTGGCTAAGCTAACTCAATATATGCTCCGACCGTCCACACTCACAACAACGGCCTATACAGACATAAATAAAGCAGCGACTGTACTCGCCATGACACAGGCAGTCTGTGGTGTGTACTTGTTTAACTTTTGTCGAGTTTCTGAACATATATAAGGAGCTGTGAGCTCTGAGTGCTAACAGCTAACGGCTGTGTTGTTTTTCTGGGGTTCTCATTGAAGATGACGTCACGGCTCCGCCTACACTGCGTTACTATAGTAACTACCCCAGTTCCTAAACTGTAATGGAAGCGCAGCATGAAGTGAGCCGGCCCTGTTAAGGCCCAACGCGGCCAAGCAGTACCGAGCGTGGCCGAGGCCGACCGTGTGGTGGAAATGCGCCATAAATCTACTCTTAAGACACACTTCTTCTCCCTGGCCTTTTAGTCAGAGCGGAGCACGACTCCTGACTTTTCCCTGTGTTTTTTAAAAAAAATATCTGTTGTAATTTATTGTCTTTTATTGTGATTATAGAAATGTGTTTTTATGTGATTGTAGTTATTACATGTACAGCACTTTGGCCCGACCAAAAATCGCTTTTAAATGTGCTTTATAAATAAACCTTGATTTGATTTGATTTGATTTGATTTGATTTGATATGAATGATAATGGGACACATCGACGTCTGCACTCACAGTGCCGCGGACTGTACTTAATGTTACTCTGATCCGGTTACTTATGTTGTGACAGATATTTAAGTAAGCTTTCTTAACGCTAATGTTATAATAGTCAGATTGCTCTGACGATGGGAGGGGATATTCTATTAATTTTCACGTTCACACAGTCAGTTGATTTTTGCCGGCCGTCTTTCCTGCAACGGCAGTTTTTCTGTATTTCCTCTATCCTGTAATATGACTTGATAGCTTTAAACTCTGCACACGGAGCTCTGATTGGTCAGCAGGCGGTGCTTTCACTGAGTTGATCTCTTATGCTGCGTTCACACCGGAACAACATCAGCCGTTAGCTGTTAGCAGTTAGCACACAGAGCTCACAGCTCCTCATATCTGTTCAGAAACTGGACAAAAGTTAAACAAGTACAAACCACAGACTGTCTGTGCCATGGCGAATACAGTCGCTGGTTTATTTATGTCTGTAGGCCGTTGTTATGAGTGTGGAATGAGCATATACAACGTTAGCTTAGCCTGGTCGACCTGATCTACATTCAGAAAACAAGCATTTTAAAAGGTTTTTCGCCTGCCGTCTTGTCTGCAGACTTGTCAAGCATTAATTCATGGTTTTTACTAACCGGTATCAGTATGTTGTTACTTCTGCATCATTTAGAAACGTGTATTACAATTTAATCACGGTAAAATATGTTCATTTGTTGTAGTTGTAGCTCCCGAGCCAGCGCGTCTTGTTTGAATGATGCGAGTAAACACAGCTGGCAGCCGCGGTGAAACTCCAGCGTTTAGAGCGATGCGATAGGAGCGATTAGAGCGAAGCGAATATTCGCATCGCGTCCGGTGTGAACGTAGCATTAGCCTGCAACCTAACCTCCTCCCGAGGAGGTTAGCCGCTCAGCATAAGTTACCATGGAGATCTAGCCCGCTAAAAAGAGAACCAGCGTCGTAGGACCGGAAAGCCCGAGTTTTCCCTGAAGTCAGCCGGCTAAGCGAAAATCCGGCTTCGTAGTACAGGCCTCTGGCTGCTGGCACCGGAGGATTTAAAGGCCTGAGCAGACCCTCGATCTCTCTCTCCGCGGAGGACCTGTGCTGGGAGCAGCCACTCTCGTTTATACTTTGCCTTGTCTTTATGTTAGTTTTGGTTCCCGTTTAGTTTTGGCTAATAAACATATTTTCTTATATATCCTCTTGTCCTTTCCACACTTTTTGTTATGGCCAAGAGCCAGGCCATGACAGATGGGGGCTCGTCCGCTTCTCTTATCTGTACTACAGCAACAGATAGGTAAGATTTGTGTAAAGAGTGGTGCGCGTGTGTAAAGTGTGTTGGGAGCGCATGCAGTGCGGCGACCGCATGTGGGGAGGACAGTATATTTCAGATCGTTGTTTGGGGACTTTATTAGATTACCTTGTGAGGCTTTAATTTGTTTTGTATTATATTTCGGGAGAGTGGTTGCTAGTTGTTCTTAGCCGTGGTCAGCTGTTTGTTTTAGTTTTTTTTCCTTTCTCTCTCGTTGACACGTGTGGGTTTGTTGGTGCGTTGTATGTGGAGCAGTGCGGAGCGGTGCGGAGTTTTCCCTGGCAGGTTAAGCGGCGGTTCCCTTGGGATTGTTGAGCAGGGTGTGTAGTGTTGCGGAGAAAGTGGTTGAAGCTTCGGCTTGGGAGCATGGCCGTGGTCTCAGTAGTGTTGCTAGCCTGCTAGTCGCTTTGATGGGCCAGCAAACTCCAGTGCATAAATACCCACCACAAGTAACTGCATGAAGACTAGGGAGGAGATTAGTCAGTGGGATGGTCAATAGTTAGTGGGGAAACTCCAATAAAGAAGGTAGTATTGTTCCACTTGATACGTATAATAAACGCTGTGGTGTCTGTTTTTGTTTTGTTTTTGCTCTTCTCTCGGTTTAAAGGTCCGGTGTTGTGTTCCAGTGAGGGGTCGTGGTAATGTAATATGGCTGACGTAGAAGCATTCGTTAAAGCTCCGTCTCAGGAGTCTCTTGTCACCTTTTCAAAAGAGCAGCTGCTCTTGATTGCTGAGCATTTCTCGGTGTCTATTGTCGGTGATAAGAGCATGAAAGAGAACATAAGAGACTCTATAGTGTCGACATTAAGGGAGACAGGAGTGTTGTCTGCAGAGAAAGAGGAGCTTTTGTTAAAACCTCTTTTTCAGGCTAGTGCACTTTCGTTTGAGCAGCAGAAAGAAATGTTGTTGTTGCAGCTGGAACATGACAGAGTAATGTGTGAATGTGACCGGGAACATGACAGAATAAAGTGTGAGTTGGTAATTGAAAAGGAGATCGCAGTGGAGCGGATGCGACAAGAATCTGAGAAAGCCAAGCTAGAGATGGAGGGACATCGTCTGTCTATTCTCAGAGATGGCGCGTTGTCCGGTGAGGGGCAGGGTGGACAGGTGCCCAGGTCTCGTTTAAGAAGAATAGTCTAATGTATCAAGCTGCAGTTTATTTCAAAGATATTACAAAGACATATAGTACATGATTTGTCCAGTTATTGTGATTTCCACTTTTTGAAAGGTTTTAAGTTTAACTTTGCTCCATTTCACATATACAGCTTAACAGAAGGTTCAAGGCAGTATCCAATACACCATTTCCCCCTGATATCAGCACATTATTAAGAATCTGCACAGTTCCCACTCTGAGGTCCCTAACTGTTATACTGTCCATTTCTCCAGTACTTTTAAGAAGTCTAGAATTTAGTTTTACCAGTGAGTCATGATACTGTCACAAAACTTAAGAAATCAATAGAAAAGCAGTCTGTGAGATGCTTGCTTACACTGTTTCCCCCTCGGTTACATTGTTAACCTGGACTCATGTTCCCGCCGTCGCTACATCACTCAGGCCAATCCAAAATCCATTTTGCCACCACATACCACCGCCTCTCAGTTTCGGGACGTTGTCAATCATGAGTTGCTGTGATACTACTGTCACAGGAGTTAAAATTGCACATTTCAAGTTTGTCAGGTAGTATTATGTACTATATGATCATTTAGACAGAACATCCCAATGACAACAGCAGCCATCAGCAGTACTGCATTTAGCATTCCCAGGCTGATTATAACCAGACGGTGGTGTGTAAACGCAGATCCACTGCCCTCTTTAAACAGAACGTGATCATGTTCTATTGAGTGAAAACCTTGATATTGGCTTATGTTAAAACCTCAAATAAAAGTTAGAAAAATTGGTTCCTACCTTTTAAGAGGTTACAGAAAATATAGGTAGATGGATAGGATTGAAGAAATTAAATAATCACAGTTTTAGTTTAAAAAAACATAGAAAGAACATTACAAATTATATTTAACAATGCTTAACATAAATATTGAAAAGAGAATTAAAATATTTGGAAGAAATATTTAAGTCTCTTGAATGGTGTAAATTCCTGATTGAAACTATTAATTAAATAAGGAAATGCAATTAAATTAAAATCAGATTAACCCGCCGACCTTGGTGTCATTTGGCAAATCCATTTCAGTATATGATTGCATGGAGCATCATTCCAGGCTTTAAAGGGGTTGCCTCTGGGATATGTTGCTGCACAGTCCTCACCACCACTGTCGTTCGGCTCTCCATCATTCCAGTAACTGAAACAAATAACAATTTGAAACACATTGTTAATCACTTTTTCATTTTAAAGGATGATATCACAGATGGATTATAGCCACAGCTGTAAGTATGTGAAAGTGGTATCACAACAACTCCAAAAAACACAATTTGACTACAATGAGTCATCTGTTGCACTTTTAGAATGAACACGCCCATAGGTAGGAAAATAGTTTCTGTTTTGATTCTTAAAAAAGTCATAATGTGCTCTTCACCCTTTTCCACCTACACTTTGTGCATTCTGCAATTTGTTTTTTGTTGACCAGGGCGTATTATTTGTAGAATACCAAATTATCCTTAACGTAACGTAAGCTCCTTATGGTTCTCTCTGGTCATTTGATTGGATGCTGTTGGAATGCTTCAGACAAAGTGGATGTGGGTAATTAAAAGAAAGGTATTCATCTTCTTTGAATCAAAGTTCAAGTGAAGTCATACTGTAAGTGTTAATAAAGTCCTGTTGAGTCTAAAGTAATCACATTCGTGAATTTAGATCTTTCTTGTATGTTAATGTTACCCTGTGGTCAGTCTTGTTCCATCAAGCCATTTCCATATCCCTTCCTCCTCGATGTCTCTCAATCCGATCCAGAAGCCACTGTGGGCTATGGGTCGAGAGGGGTCTTGATAATTTGTTGTCAATTCAGTTATTGCCAGCTGCCAATGAAAATGTACACAAACAAACACAAACACAAACATGTACAGTACATTCATTTATCTTGTTGGTTTCTGTGTAACACCAAGCACATTTACTGCTCAGAAATAAAATGTGAAGCCTTATAAAGAGAATTACAAAAGATGGAATAGCAGTCTTACGTGTTTCTCTCTGCTGTCGATCACTGCCAAGTCACCTCCTTGGTTTATACAGAACTGTCTGGCTTCCTGCCATGACCTTCGTGAAAAAGCATCAGAGATGGCCAAGTAGTAACACACTGAGTTCATGAAGGTCCATCCTGGTAGACAGTGTCTGCAGCCCTCTTCTGTTGCCAAAGATAAAGGAAAACATAATGTGTTGTTGGTTTGGTTGGGTCAAAATAATTGTTGTTAACACAATCATATGGAAAAAAAAGCCCTCACTAATCATTGGGATGTGGGATTTCAAAGCTGCTATTTCCATTTGAATGTTGTCACTCAGTTTAAGGTAGTCCTTGCTTCTGCTTTTCTGGTGATCAAGCTCCCACTTGGTAATTTGCTGCTCCCTTATCTCTCTGGCCAACTGTTTCTTGGCTTCGTCCCTGTGCCAGATCGCAGTGTCGTAAGCAGCCTGCAGTTTGGCCACCTCAGCACTGATGTCCATTATGGTATCCTGTCCATCGGTAAATTTACCATCTGTAAGTGGTCAAGACTTAGTGTTACTGAAGAAATCATGTTTCCTTAAATCACAACACTTTTTACAATACTGGCCAACAGTAGAAAATACAAGCAGGAAAATGGTGAAATTAAATAATATATTTAAACAGGTATTCAAAACATTTGTATAAGTACATTGCCATACGTGAGTTATTTCTTAGTGTTTTGTTGTTGAGGTTTGTCAATAGAAAAGAAAGTTTAACTTATAGTATTTTATCGTATAAGCATGTTTGTTATGTTGCAATGCAAGCTGTCATACAGCATTAGCATTATTGGTCTTTGAGCACTGACAGGAAACAACACTATTATGTTCCTACCAACACATATAGTATAATTACCTATCTCCATCAACTCCTTAGGAAAATATCTAGCTAGCTCTTAAGCTAAATGCTACTGTACAAGCTAGCTAGGCGTTCATTTTGCTTCCTAATGAACAGTGGGTTTATCAGCACACCAACTGTTGCTTCCTTTGGAAAATGTGATGAGTGGTGATCAAAAACAGTCAAACTTTGAATAGCTTTAACTCTAGTGTTAACTTCGATTTTTCTACTTGAAAATTAACTGACACATTGGTTTTAATAAGAGTTAAATTGCAGTGGTGCTGCAACATTTATCTCAAGTACTGTATGTAGGCTACTTTACATTAAAGTTACTTGAATATTTCCATTTTATCCTAATTTGTACTTATACTTCATTACTTTTTGAATGCATATGCTGTACCTTTTGCTCGACTATATTTGATACCCTTATACATAAACTAATAAAAGCGTCAGCTAAATGCAATAAATAAAATTAGAGCCTCTTTCAGGCTGCAAAAATATAGTACAATGCCACAATGCTTTGCAAGATGGTGGGATAATAACGACTTACAATAGACTCCCAGGCCAATGTCCACTGCTAGTAGAATGACAGCAAGCACTGCAAGGCTTACTGTAAGCCGTTTGTAATGTTTCAAACTGGATTCAGGTCTCACCACAGACATGGACACTGCACACAAGTGATGGACCAATAGCAAAGACAAGAAAATGACACAATATAACAGCAGGTCAATATAGCAAAAATAATAAACTGTATATTTTTGAATATGGTAACAGTATCAAAGTACAGATTACAGTTTATTTTAGACGTGGGACGTTTACCTTGTTCTTGTTCTTGGTTTGAATAGAGAGTGAGCTCATCTCCACTGATGTCCTCTTGGTGGATCAGTTTGTTATAAGAACCATCAAATGTACCTGCAATTTCTGTGTCAATTTTAACTATGAGGATGTAAGCAGTCTTAGTCTGACGTGACTGTTCAGAAAATACTATTTGTGAGGACCTTGCCCTGTGTGTGTGTGTGTGTGTGTGTGTGTGTGTGTGTGTGTGTGTGTGTGTGTGTGTGTGTGTGTGTGTGTGTGTGTGTGTGTGTGCGTGTGTGTGTGTGTGTTAACATCATTACAAACAGAAAATCTAGTTCATTTGTTAAACATTTACAGGGGGATGCTTGAATTTGAAGAGCTGTGTCATTGTCTGATCACAAAATCAGTTATGTAAACAAACATTCATGCATTTTTTTATTTTATTTAGGTGGCACTTTTATTACATTAAAGTGGACCTATCATGCTATATTTGAATAATATAGTGTAGGACCATACCTATATAAGGCATATTTATACTTTTTTTTTTTCAAAATACCAAACAGATCATGCATTTTGCCATGCCTCATTTCGCTGAATTTGAAATTGTTTAGCTCTGTTTTTGCAAGGGCTGATTCTGTGAGAACAGCACCATCTACAGGCCTGGCATATGTACTACAGCGTCTCCAGGGCTTTCGAACGTCAATGGCCGTGGCTGTCTCCTCCTGATTGGTGGAGTTGGCCCAATAGCCGTAGCGCCACTGTCCTGACGTCAGGACAGTGTTCAAATCTGGATCAGTTTTTATCAGATCCGTTGCAGCCCCTTTTTTAGAGATTTGGGTATGGAGGAAAATAGAGAGGGTTGTGTTTTCTGACACTTGGTGAGTTCCCTGGAACACCGGGGACACATATTCATGTATAAAAGACGAACAAAAGTGCATTTTGCATGATAGGTCCCCTTTAAGTTTACATTCACAAAATAATTATTCATCTGCTGCAGGACAGTAACAGAATACTAAATTATCACAGTTTAAGAAGAAAAGTCCAATGAATTAAGCAGATTATTTCAAAGATATTTCAAAGACATACATGATTTGTCCAGTATTTGTGATTTCCACTTTTTGAGGGGTTTTATGTTTAACTTTGCTCCATCTTACATTTACACATGTCGGGCAAAGAAATAGTTAGACATTTTGACAATACTTTCCTTAATTATATTACCAATAGAGTTAGATAAGTTAAAAGATACCATTCTCATAACTGTTTGATACAAATGAAGCTACAACCAAGACTGATGTGACTGTTATCAACTGCATTGAAGAACAATTGTTAATATTTCCATGGTTCTTTTCTTTTCACACCTTGGGCTCCATTTCGCATAACCATTCCCTTCGTACTTCGCAGGGATCATCAAAGAATGTTTTCCTTGGGTTTCTTAGGTTTATAAATGCGACACAATGCTGTTCCTCTGTTCCTGAGTTGGTGGGCTCACCTATTATCCAGTACCTAAAGAAAAATCCAAGTTATGCTTAAGAATACATTGAATAATAAAATACACTATTATAAAATGTATTGTGTCCACTTTTTTAATCACATACAATTGAACATTTATTTTAAATTGTACTTATTTCATAGAAAAGGGCAAGTCGTGGTTTAATGAATACATCATTTTTCCAACCCGGTATCACGGCAAGACGTGAACATGTGACGATCTACCATGCTGGGAGACGTGAATATGTCACGGTTTCGTCCCTTCAAACATGACAGTTACACGGTATTGTTAACATGGCCCAACCAGTGGAGAAATACCCGGAAGTGCCAAGCAAATGCTCTACCAAGACTATTGGTCAGTTTTTATTGTCAAAATTAGATGTTTTTAATTTATATAAAAAAAAAAAAAAAATTAAATCGTCACACTCGATTTCGCCGATTTTCTTGTTGCCCTAGCTGGTCGACACCTCTTTTAGCAGAAACAAAGGCTACATTAATGTATTAAATCGATGTGAATCCATGTGTGTGGATCATAGACTTATGGCGCAGTTCCACTACAGCGCGGAGCTCGCTTTAAGCGTGCCGTGTCGTGCCGTGCCCGTTTTTGGTTGCGCTTCCACTAGGCCTAGTTCCGGCCCGACCCGGCCCGGGGCCACTTTTTCACGTCTTTTCTGTCCCGAGAAAATTGTGGTTCTATCGAGGCCAACAAACAGGGCTGAGTCGGGCTGAGTATGCTAAACTAGAGAGAGGAGCGCTGGCAACGGGGCTACAACTACAACAAGATGGACATATTTGACCGTGATTTAATTGTAATACACGTTTCAAAATGATGCCGAAGTAACAACATACTGATACCGGTTAGTAAAAACCATGAATTAATGCTTTGTCAAGTCTGCAGACAGACGGCAGGCGAAAAACCTTTTAAAATACGTGTTTTTCTAGATGGAGATTGGCTAAGCTAACGCAGTATATGCTCCGACCGTCCACACTCACAACAACGGCCTATACAGACATAAATAAAGCAGCGACTGTATTCACCATGACACAGGCAGTCTGTGGTGTGTACTTGTTTAACTTTTGTCGAGTTTCTGAACATATATAAGGAGCTGTGAGCTCTGAGTGCTAACAGCTAACGGCTGTGTTGTGTTTCTGGAGTTCTCGTTGAAGATGACGTCACGGCTCCGCCTACACTGCGTTACTATAGTAACTACCCCAGTTCCTAAAACTGTAATGGAAGCGCAGCATTAAGTGAGTCGGCCCTGTTAAGGCCAAGCCGTACCGAGCCGTACCGAGCGTGGCCGAGGCCGACCGTGTAGTGGAACTGCGCCATAAGTGTGGATGTGGAATTAACGGACGTGACGTTGTGCGATTGCGTTGCCAGGCAACAGCTTCGGTTCATGTTAATTTACAAACTCTTCAACTAGAACCGTAGTTATATTTAAAAAACGTTTTAGAAGGCCTCACGAAATACTTTAATGTAAATTTAAATTTAAATGTGAAGGAATGTGTGTATAACAAAATACGTCATAAAAAATACCGGAAACAGACGTAGGCAAGGTCCTCAGCTCGGTGATTCGATGGTTTAGCCGCAATGCACGTTGGGAAATGGTGTTTATGCGATGTGAAATCCGAAAACATTTTTTAAAAATAAAATAATACTTTATTCCGAGTGTGCTTGCTTTTCTCTTTGAAAGTCATCACATAACGGCATTGTAATACACGGGTCGGCTGCATTAAATATTACATATCTGCCGTAGTTCTCTATTTATAGAGCCCTGATGAGAAGACTTCTGGACAAACAGGAAGCACTGCCGCCAAAACTGAAAACGTGACGTGGATCATAAATATATCAGCAATTAAACAACATCTTACATTTCTTTTCACACAATACGTCTCCTTGCAGTATCAATACTAATTCGGCTGACTTTTATATTTGGTCCAATTGGTAGATAGGCTGTTTTTACACCATATCGGTGCACAGCTGATAGAAAGGCACATCTAGTGGTTAACCTGTTAACCTCTTAAGCACGGTGGTTGGACCCCTCCCACCGTTTTTTTTTCGAGATAATGTCTCAGGACTTCTTAACATTTATGAAACTATTAATGTGTAGCACCAGATTAACGGGAAGAATCTCAGCTAACTGAAGATATGAACCATTGTTACCAAAACAAAACACAAGTCTCATAAGAAGCGTCTAAATGACCCCTGAGCGAAAAAATTCTAACGCACTGCGGCACACAATTCAAGATAAAGATACCCTTATTACTTATCGTAGCTGCACATACAATATAGCCGATTAAAGCTGAGACTCCACAGATTATTTAGGTATAGTATCATCACTGAGCGATCCGAACTTGCGACAGGGGAAGCAAACACAGACATCACAACACGTACCTTTACGGAGCATTTACGGCAGATCGTCTCACCGTAGCTGTCAACTAGGTCAAAAGACGTGTTCAATGGCATTAAAACGGAAAAAGAAAATGCTACAACTGTTGATCCATAGGTTGATAATGTACCTGTGCCTTTGAAAAAATTATTTATAATCCATAATTCCATTTTTTATGTAAAAATCGGAGCGGAAAAGTTAGCTGCTAATGGTAGCCACCAGAGTGTATGCAGCTTCCGGTTTTGGTAACGCGTCACTCTCACTCCTTATTTGTTAATGTTTTGGTGTGTATATAACTTTCCCTCGATTCCATTGGCTCTAGCGGTTATAAAGAGATTTCATTCATCAAAATCGACCAAGGGGGGCCAGAGAGAGGTTAAGCTCTGAGCCTGTTTTTCAGGTCTCAGGCTCGAAAATGACATTCCCAGAACAAATGACCATATCTTCCCTTCTAAAAGGGTTCAATTAATAATCTTTTTTCTCAAAGTAATGATAAACCTGTGAGTTGGATGTAGAAAAGTCAGAATCAATATAGATGTTTTTTATTTTAAAGAAAATTCAGATTTTACATAGTAAAAAACTGTAAATTATAGTGTCCGTCCAAAAATTCTTTTTTACTTATAGTGAAAACTACCCTTGGATGATGGGTTAGTAGACTAAAAGCTTTAGGAATCCAAAGTACAACATATAATAAGTACCCTGTATCAAGATTGATGCAAAACAAGTGACATGTGACCTTTTTAGAGAGGTTTAGCCAAAACCACTCCACCTCTGAGGTGATTTGGGTGAAAAAAAATTGTTTTCATATCTCTAGCCCCCCTTGGTCGATTTTGATGGTTGACACCTCTTTCTGACCGTTAGAGCCAATAGAATCGACACTCGTTGTGAAAACAAACGGTGGGGGCTTCGCGCATGCAGGTTTGCACCAGAGTGAAGCGATCTCTCGCTCTGACATCTGGAAACGAAAAAGCAGTTTTATTGCTTATGCATTATCAGAAATCATTTCAAAGAGGACACAGACACATTGGATTAACCTATGGATTAACTGCAGCATCGTTTTTTATCGTTTTAATGCCATTGAAGACCAGTTTTGACCAAGGTAAGCCATGTTAGCGTTTGTAGCTACCTAGCGCCACATGTTTTGATGTACGTTTTCGTTTATAGCGTCGCAAATGTTTATCACTGAGTGTTGAGGTGGGCACCCCCAGATTCTGTGTCTCCAGGCGATGCTAATCGATGGGT